TTTCTTTTGTCTTCGATTTTTAGAGCTGCGACTGATATACATGCTCCAAGTGTTCGTGGCCATATCGCATATTTAACCTCTTCTTCAGTTGTTCGAAATCATCCGTCTCCTCTACGGCTATGGTCTGGAGCACATCTAAGGCATCTCCTCGAAGAGCGATAGTCAGGTTTACAGCCTTTTCTTTTTCAGACCATCCATTCGCTCTTGCAGCTGATTCGAACTGTTTCATGTAGTTGTTCCATGATGATTTTCCGTCGAAAGTTGGGACTATTGACATGAACGGAACTTCCACTTCCTTCAAATTTCGGCCGTGTGTTTCCAACTTACATTTCGTCTCGTCTTCTTTTGTCTCTGCTATAATTGGATTGTTTTCTCTCTCGGCGGTCGTTGTTTCCTCCATCTTCCTTTCCATCTCTTTTATCTTCTCTTCGAAGGCCAACAATATCGGCAGCAACTTGGTTCTTTAAACGACGATACTCTATCGCTCGAGGGGCAGACATCTCAGAAGTAACTTTAGAGATTTCCAAGGAGATGCTAGCAGGAAACTTTGCTTTCTAGGGAAGAACATCTCGTTAGTAAACTTTGCTTTCCTAAAGAAGCGCATATCACAGGGAAACCTTGGGCTTACATCGGAAGAAGAAACTTTATTCTCCAATTTTTGAAATTGACGCGATGACAGCATCTTCAAATTTATAAGATTTCCGGATCTAAACCCTCTTCCTCCAAAGCATTCTTTAGTCGTTGGACTAACCAGCCTTTTTCCTTTTTCCGTTAGAAGCTAATTCTCTGTCCTCAAGATACCTACTTAAATTCGTAACTGTGAGCTCGTAAATCGACCTCGTCATATTTCACTTCTTTTTATTAAATGTTCAAATTAGATTTATTTAAAATCCCGCTTTTTTATTTGAATATCCCACTTCTGACTCCACTGTTGTATATTTATATAGTTTTCGAATTTATTTGTCTTTATTCTAATTTATTGTCTATAATCTAATTTATTAAAAACTCACGATAGCTAATTACTAATTTATTAAATAACTTTACAAATGTATTTATTTTCACGTTTCGTTAACAAGTAAAACCGCGTTTTACCGATCTTCTTATGACTGCCACCTTCAATAAAATTTCGCTTTCTTATATAAAGAACCGTAAGACCCGCCTAGACCTGACCTGACCTTTGTCGAAAATACTGGAATGATCTCGTTTTTCAACTAGTTTGAAGAGCCTCGAGACGTGGATTATTCATAAAATTAGGGTCTAGAGGTTTCTCGTATACAACTTCGAATTTACTAGAACAGAAAACAGAATTAGTCATAATATATTGATAGTTTATAAACGCCACTAATTATCGTAACAATATAAACCAAATTAACGAATCTACAAAACTCTTAAATAACACAGTAAGTAGCAACGTACAGAGAATACAACAAACAAAACTTGGTAAGACAATAAGGAAAAGTATTAATTAGAGCATAAGAAAATATAACTAAAGACTGATAGAAAAGGAAATCAAAAACAAAAAAAAAAACTATAAGAAAATAAGAAAAGCACTAATTATTGGGATAAAGCGACTCGTTGCTTTAACAAACTAAAACACTATAATAATAGACAGAAATTAAATAATACAACTCGTAAATGAATTATGCAGTAAACTATATCAAGCCCCTAAAACACTTGGAAAAGTAATGAGTAACCAAGAAGATGTACCAAAAGTCCTTCGGAAGAAGAAGAGTCGATAATTACAAAAAACAAAGGCGGTAAATCAGCTGGTATAGATGGCAAAACAGTGAAACTGCTTAAATACGCTGGCAAAAAAAACCTAAAAATATATTATCAGGCATATTTACAAACTGCCCAAGACCACGATGCATACCAGACTACTGAACTACAGCAAACATAATTTTTAATTATAAGAAAACTAACAAAGAGAAGAAACTATAGATCTATAAGTTTACTACTAATCATCTACCTACAAGGTATTTACAAAGATCATTTAACAACAGATTAACAAATTCATGAGAGCTTTACAGTCAGTCAGAAAGGTGGCTTCCTTTCTGAGTGACTGTAAAGCTCTCATAAAGAGTTTTAGTCTCCCACGATGTTCAGATATTTTTTGACAATTACTTCCCGACGGTACTTACATAAATTTTTACAATAAGCTAAAAACGTTGTTTATTGCGGATGAATCTTTCGACTACCTACAAAACTTATTGTGTATTTAAAATGAAATCGTGGAAATATCATTTGAGGTTTTAAACATCAGTTGATAACTACGGTTGTGAGTGAAATTTTATGTGGTAAATATTATTAAATTTATTTAAACAGATCGTGAAATTAGAATCTGACTATTATTCACAATCAATGTTTGTAGTTTTTTGGAACAAATAAACACTAAAAATTTTACAGAAATCGAATTGTTCTTATTTATATAACTCTATTTCGGACCGATCCTTAGAAGTACCGTCGGGAAAACTAACAACGATCGTATTTTATTTACAGTTGTCGCAGTCATGGCAAAGAATAAATATACTTCAAAAAATAAATTTACCAATAACGAACTACTAGAGATTTTGGAAGACGGTGAGTTTGATGCTTTTGATTTAATTCCATTAGATAATGATCAAAACACTGACATTGAGGATTTTGAAGAAGACGAAGAGGGTATAATAGTTTACTTACCGACTTTATTTGTAGGTTCTCAAGCAGAAATAATAGAAACGAATCGTATAGTACGAGATATACTTCAGACTGAGGAAAACATACAAGGTGAAGAGGAAACAGATGAAGAACAAATAATAGAAACTGAATTAGAAGTGACAAAAAATGAAAGCGAAAGAAAGTGGGAACGAAAAGTAAAAGAAGATTCAGATCTTAGCGAATATAATCAACCTGAAGGAATTAATGAAAACGAATTTATAGAATGCTACACTGCTCTTAGTGTTTATTTGAAAATATTAGGTCCTGCTGTAGAACATATTGTTTTTCAGTCCAACTTATACGTTACTCAACGCAATAAGACATTAAATCTAACGGCTAACGAATTTCTGTATTTTGTTGGAATAAATTTTCTGATGGGGTATCATCAGCTGCCCAGTCTTCAATCTTATTGGAGCACCAGTAAAGATCTCTAGTTAGTGAGTCTATGTCCAAAAACTGATTTCAGGAGATTATATCAAACTTGCATTTGAATGATAACAGTTTACTATCCAAGGAAAACAAGGATAAACTTTATAAAGTACGGCCTTTGATGGAAATTTCAAACAGTCAGTTTGGATTATTGTACTAAGGAAGTCGAGAACTATCTGTTAATGAGTCTATTGTCAAATTCAAAGGCAGAAGCAGCCTCAAACAATATATCCCAATGAAGCCAGTAAAACGGGATATAAACTCTGGTGCCTCTCTGATCAGTACGGATTTATAAAAAAGTTAGACATTTATCAAAGGAAAAATGAAGTCGTTGCAGCAAAATACAATAAGTGTACTTTAGGCGGAAGAGTTGTATTGTCTTTAAGAGGAACGCCACAGGAAAAAAATTGTTTATTTTGATAATTATTACACTACACTAAACTTACTGGAAGTTTTGCAAGGTCAGGAAATTTTTGCCTGTGGTACAATAAGAAACACAAGGAGAGGTTTACCAAAAACAATGAAGGTAGACAAAATGTTAAAACGAGGAGATCCTGATATTATGGTCTCTAACACTAATATTACATTCTATAAATGGAAAGATAATCGTGTAGTATGCCTTGCCTCAAACTTCCACGGTACCAATGAAGTTACGATTCGAAAAAAGGACAAAACTGGTAAAAAGTGTAATATAACAGCCCCATCTGCAATAGAAGATTATAATAAGTATATGGGCGGGGTTGATCATGCAGATCGGCTCCGATTCTGCTACACTATAGATAGACGCTCAAATAAATTGTGGCACCGTTTATTTTGGGGCGTGCTTGAAATTGTATTTGTCAATAGCTATGTAGTGTCAAAACACTTTTTAGACATGGAAGAGTCTACCAATGATTTAATAACATTTTGACGAGATGTGGCCATGGGACTTATCAAATCTTCTCCATTACGTAAAATGCAAAAGAGAATGTCTGATTCCCAGATTGCAATGAAAAGAAGAAGATACGGATACAGTGTACCAGATAGTATAAGGCTTGAAAATCTTGGTCGTCACTGGGTGCAATATGGTGACCGTTGTGCAAGGTGTGAACTATGCAGTTCTAAAGGAATACAATCAAAACCATATTCATTTTGTTCTGCATGCAAAGTTTATTTATGTAGTAATGAGAAAAAGAATTGTTTTGTGGAATACCATAACGTTAGTTTGTAATTTGTAATTTAGTCGTTGAATAAACCGACGGTACTTATAAGTACCAGTTAAAAATAAAGTATTTGTGTTATTTATTTTGCAATAACTATTTTTTTATAGAGTATATATACGTGTATATAACAGAAAATTCTAAAATTCAATATCTTTCAATGCTTGGGATTTTAGGGTACCAGAATTTGGTGGTACTTAAAAGTACCGTGGGGAGACTAAGGGTTAAAAAAATTACTCCAGAGAATGCAGTTCACAATTACTGGCGATTATGCATATCAGTAATATTCTTGGCATTGACATTTTCTTTATCGTTAGATGTATTAATATTTTGAAGCTAATTTGATGACAGTTCTGTCTCCGAAACAATCTTCAACCTGTTTAAATAATGTATATAAACAATCTTCGCCGTTATTATGGAACAATTTGCGTTGCACAGGATCCCGATTCACAATTATTATTATTTTTAAAAATTACTATTTCGCACTTCTCAAGTGAAGTGGATTTGTTTTAAACACGAAAAAAGTACATCATCGATAAATATATATTATCATAAATATTAAGTTTAATTCTTATGTTATAATAAAATATCGAATATTTCGTTTTTAGTATAATATCACATTTCATATAAAAACTATTAGGGGTTTCTTTTACTGGTTTGCAAAAAAGTACTTAC